TACTTGTTTAGAACATTTCCACAGTATAACCAGTTTCCACGACACTTGTCTTCTCCCATCTTAAAGTCTAGAGGCTCACCTCTTCTAATTGTGCTATTATATCTAACACTCTTAATAGCTCTTAAATCTTTCAAATAACAAACCTTGCTGTTACATGATATGGCCTTTTCAGCATCATCAGATGGATTCTGGTGGAATAAGAGGGCAACTTAATGTTATTGCTCATATTTGGTTGCATTCATGTATTGTATTGTTAGCATGATATTGAGGCTTCAGTTTTGTAACATAGGGTTGCAAAGGTAATGTTCACAAACAATATGATTGGATAAAGAAATGTCAACGGCATTCTATGTGAAGTAGAAATTCAGAAAGTATGTGTACATACCATAATTTGTGAGTAGGAATAATATGAACGTTCCCTTATAACGTATAGATTTATATGTTTCTGAAACGTCACAGGTTCAATGCGTTTTGGTTCAATGGCAAACACTGGTCCATAGTTTCCTAGTAGACAACCTTCACTCTTCAAAAATCTATGCATTCAAATTTTATGTCATAGACTAGTCTTATATGACGTGTCCCGTGTTTGTCCAAATAACAAAGTATAGGTGGCTTCACATTTATGATATCAATCCCAAAACTACACTGATGAAATCGGTGTGGGCAAAGTTGTGTGACTTTGAAAGTAGCAGTATTATTACGACCATAATAAAACAGCACTGCAGCCAACCAGCTGTTTACACTATACCCTCGTTTGGATTATAGGAGATCAGTTACTGGCAAATGTTATTGAAGCATTAATATAACCGGAAATATGGTTACAAATGTCAGAGTGAAACCAAAAAAGACAAAAATGTTATACAATTAACAACTGTTTCATGAATTTAACCAATCAATAAAAACTATTGCTGTGTAAGTACAATGAATAGCAGTACAATGGCATAATAGAATATAATAGCAGTGGTGATAATGATATAGTGTTATAATAATATTCATCTAGCAGCAACAGTGGTTAAGCTTCCAAAATGGCCCTTCGAAAAATAGACTTCGAAACTCAACCGCCAACACAAAGCCATCCTCAAACAGCTAAAATGGAACTTCGAAGGTATTACTCTCTGCTTTCCAAGCTAACCAACCTTCTAGTTTTGTGGCATTCAAAAAGTGTGTCGATGCAGTTCAGAATTTGATGGGTGCAGATGTATCAGTAGTGTCGGGAATCAGCCTGACAACAAAACATGATTTCTCGATTCTTTTGGTTGGTCATTTTGGTCCGTATGTGCCACCATTGTTCAATGAACAATTAAAAGTATAATACGAAACAGTGTCAGTGTACACAACTACAATGCGTGTCATTCCTTTAGGGATAAATATGTTATTGACGACGCCAGTCTCGCTGAGCAGGGCAGTTGTATTTGAGGTGATGGGCGCATATGTACTTCCCCAAGATTAACGAGGCCATTTTTTTGTCTGCTCTTCCCTGATTTTGCCTGAAGTTTGCTTAAAAGTTGCATAAACCCGTCTAACTCGCATCCTAGTTTTTTTTAAATATCGACGACAAACTGAAATTGATCTGCTGAACCTCGTATAACTATTTTCGTATTTTAGATTAAAATGGAAATTACTTCGAGTAAAAAAGCAAGAAGTACGATTCTCTTTCTGTGACCATGAGCAAAGGTGATAGGTCCTGGAAAAAGGGGATGGGACTACTCTACCTTCGGTATTTGAAGTAGCGTTCGAAGTTCAGGAATCTCCTTCTCCTCGTCATTGTTTTTCAGTTCATCAAATTGGAAAACACCAAGCACCCTCCTTCTTAACAGTTCCTTCCGACAGCCTTCAACCGAACTGCATTTGATGATAACAAAGAAAACAACAACCCCACACAGCATATCATAGTTTATGGCCACGTACTGGCTCCTTCAACATACATGATTAAGTAATGTCTGATTGAAAATTGAAGTTATTTATTCATATTCACATGACTGACACGGCAAACATGACAGATTCATCGTGGAGAAGGGAGTTTGACAAGGCGGAATAATTCTCATACATTTTAAATGGATCATAACAGTCCAAACAACATCGAGGATCCCTTCTACATACAGCTGAGAAAAGAGTACTCTGACATGTGAGTGACAAGCAGTGTTTTACGTTAGAGCTTCAGTGTGTAGGCGTACATGAATAGGGAAAGGAATGTACTGAATGATTAAAGAAGCTTCTCATTATACTATCATACTGCCCAATTTAAATTGATCGAAGAAACATTAAAAATGAATATGTTTGCGATGGCTTCGAAATTACTTTAGGGCTAATGGAATTGGATTTATACAAAACATATTATAGAAGAGACTTCCATAACCTTCAATCCCTTAGCATAGCCTTCTGCTTTTGCATCTTGTCAAATAATACACGTGTCCGGGCATTGTAGAAATATACTATCTAACAATGTCACAACTTAGGTAAAGAATCCATAGACAAACTCCCTGCAGGAAGATGATTACGGATATTCATTTAGCTCCTGATTATTGGACGTCCATGCTTACAGCATTTCCAGTGAATACCGTCTTCTTGACATAACCCTGAACTAGTATTTCTATCAGAAGATTGAGCTTCACAGATCCCGTCATAAAATCGACGCTCCTTTGCCTTTTAAAACTAATGGAATCCGCAGGTATGCAAGACCGATTATTCTCTTACACGGACGTGTTTTTCTCGATCGTTTCTTATCAAATAGGTCAATGCAAACGTTGCTCTGGTAATGAAGGTTGAAATCACTCATTTCGCACAGAGACAAAAGGGCGAGTTCTTTGAACTTACACATCAGTGGTCGTTTATACTCACATCTCTGTTATAGCAAAAATAAAAACATCTGAGCATTTAAAAACAACAAAATAACATTAGCAGTAATTATCAGGATAAAGGGGAAAGCGTTAACAGGTTTTGCCAAAGGAAATGGCCTGTAAGACATTGAAGAAGGTGACATGGGAATCTAAATTGATCGCAATGAGAAACAAAACCTCAGAAAGACATTGGTAAAACTCAACTACATATTTTCAATCTCTGATTGAGACAATGCCAGGTTATATTCACACTGCACGAATCTTGAAGTTTTTAAACAAACGGAATGAAATGTTAACAGATAAAAAGACGATTAATGGGGATTTCAAGAAAAAGGGCCCTACTTTACTCGTGTCACTGCAGGCTATCCTGCCACAATGAGGACCAGAATGGCTGTACCATTAAACTGAGTTGTATTACTTTGCCAAATATTGACAAATCTGAACAATACGATGAAATTCGAATAATGCACTGGAAGATAAGTACCATACCATCATAACATGTTTTTTTTCATGATCAGTGATATAAAGCAGCATTATTAAAACAGTGGAAGAAATCTTTGTTTATAAAAATAAATGAACATTTTTGCGGGGTCTGTGCTGTTTTTGAACTGTCATGAAGCATAATATTTAACGGCATTTCCGGATTCCGTGCAGTGTTATGTGGCAGTGTTATTCGTTGTGTTCGTTTTCTTTTTTAATACTTCGTTCCTTAACACGTACACAAAACACTTGATACGTCTCAAACCATGGATATATCTAAATGTATAAACTCTATTTTTCATTTCCATGCAATAGAACAAATACGTATAGTCCAATCAGCGCTATTCCTTCCAGTGTACTATCAATACAAAATACATAACAAATATAACATCTGACCTGTTAAAGTTGAGTCTAGGTCAAAGCCCCTCGGGACAAAAGCCCCTCGAAAAATGATCAAAAGTCCCTTACTTTATGCATTAATGTCAAAATAACATTAAAGACAAGAAATGATTAATGTCATGAAATGTTGTATTGCTTCATAATAGAATGACTCTTAATAGTATATAAATTAATATGTTATTAGCAAATATTTTTTTCTGAATTAGAAATACATTTCATCAAACAAATGATAACAAATCAACAAGAAATGATTAATGACAAGGAAAATAGTATTGTATCATAATTAATACTTAAACAAATCAACACTATATACCTATTTCCTCCATGGGAAAGCCTGAGTTTGACTGTGAGAAATGTTTGTTTTGCAAAATTCTAATTTCCTCTATAAGTTGCAAACTTTCCGAGTCAGAAATTATCACATTTTCTCCTTTTCTTTTACATTGATACGATAAAATACTTAAATACTTTATGAAATATATAAGAGCAATGAGAAAAGTTCATTATACTTTATGAAATATAAAAGACTTTTTCCTACTTAAAATACTGTATAAAATATATAAGAGCAGTAAGAAATGTTCATTCTTTTATGAAATACATAAATCGAGGGGCTTTTGTCAGAGGAGCTCAAGTTAGCGAGGGGCTTTTCTCCAGAGGGGCTTGTGGTCGAGGGGCTTTTGTACCAAGGAGCTTTTGGCCGGTATCCTTAAATTTTACTTATGACATATATCAATAAATGAAACTCTACAACGATTAACTTCAGTGATGGGACGCTCAGAAGACTAATACTAATTGATACTTGCTCACAAGGGGACGGTCATTGCAAACAAATATAATTCAGATAATGTGATGTGCAATCATTATCAGAACTTTCACATATATATATATATATATACTATCCCAAAAATGAAACGCATAGGCGTTTTGAATTTTTAAAAATCTATTAATTACCTTTTGTGTTCAAACAGTCGTCAACATATGTAACTAAAGCGTTGATAACATGATTGTACACAATTGCACAAGTAAAAATCGACTTTACCTGAAAATGTTGATTTTGATGAGATTTCTCACAAGGATTAAAGGGCATCGCTACAACGCAACAGAAATTACCTTCCAGTTGACATTGTGCAGCAAAGAGCATGCACTGTCTGGCCATAAAAATCCAGATTACTTTCGGAAATGGGCATTCGTTTTGAAGGAGTTTCAAGGTCAAATCACTACGCCACGTCTTGACTCAGCGACACGGAACATCGCCATTGAAAGAATGCACTCTGGAGATTTTCCAACCTTCTCTTGACAGGCGTCTGAATGCTAGTCTGAGTAAGATATCACGGCTTGCAGCTCGTTACAACCAAACAAGTATAACAAATGACTGTCCCCGTACAGGCAGACCTCGAGTCACCACTGCAGCCCAAGATCGGTACATCCGGGTACTACATTTGCGCGAGAGCACAGCAGCCAGGGTGCATGAACTTCGGAGGATATCCGGGCATGCTGTACGGAACAGGTTGAGAGAGACTGGACTGAGAGCCAGGAGACCCGACGTCGGGACCGTGCTACGTCGTCACCATCACGCTCAACGTCTCCGTTATCTAAAATTATCCACTTGGTTGTATAGACCTTTCCTTCTTCTAAACTGATGTAAACATGCATGCACTAAAGTCTATTTGTGGACAAGTTATACATGTTTGAAAATACAACATTTTCGCAACAGATTTCTGGCCTATGCCTTTCTTTTTTTGGACAGTATATTATCTTTTTGTGCGAGCGGCAAGTCTTTTTAGGCATGGCAAACGATGACTCGCCCGCAAACTTTGTGCCGTTCTCTTATATAGAAAGGACTCTAGACGTGGTCTTGTCAAAAGATTTCATCAGGGAATCTTTCGAGACATAATGCCTAAAGAAGTATGTCTTAGATATTGCCAACGAATTGTCATCTTCCAATATAGCCTATGCAGATGAAGGAAACCTTTCAAGTTACGCTGCAGAAAATCGCATTATTTGAAGTTATCCCCAAATGTATTTTCCTTAACATCTTTGATAATATGTAATTAGGGTCATTTGTTTGATGCGTGTCAAATAAATGTTTCTCCCGTTTGGCCAAATGCAATCAGACATAGGAATACACTGTACATATATCTGAACCATTAGGAGACCATGCCCTAGACACAAGATGACAACTGACCATAGATCTCAATTATCTGTCGGTGGGCCATGGGATTACCACAGTATTAGTGTATTATCTCAGGACGACGAAGAAACCTGCCCACAGACACGAAAAGGTCACTGTCTGTATGTATGACACATAGTTGTCTCAGGGTGAAATGATAACTCCCCAGACTGTCAAGGAACCTGTAAGGTAAACCTTTATGTTAGCATTTCGTAATGTGAGAATATTTGTTTAGACATTTGTAAAGATATCTGCCACCAGTAACCAGCTTACAAACATAGGACAGAGATGGAAATAAATAAACGCTAATGGCACATATGTTACTATGCACTCTACATTCCTCTGTTGTCTGAATGTTGCTTTATCTTTCCGTCCGTGTCTCTAAATGGTACGACCGCCTCCGTGGTGTAGGTGTTAGAGCGTCCGCCCGGAGAGCGGAAGGTCGTGGGTTCGATCCCCGACCGAGTCATACCAAAAGACGTTAAAATATGGTACTAGTTGGTCCCTGCCTGGCGCTCGGCATTAATGGGTACAACAAAGGCTTGTCGACTCGGAGTCAGTATAATGTGTCTGAGTGGGGTATTCATGCTTCACTGCGGTGTGGTATCTCAGTGGGCTAGCACTATAAAACCAGCTTCAGTCTGGGCTAGTACAAGCAGCCGCACATACACATACACACGCATGCGCGTCGTCATATGAGCGAAATATTCTCAAGCACGACGTAAACCCAATTTCACCTCACCTCACTTCTAAAAGTTACCTATAAATTGTCCACTATTATTCGTCTACTGAAGTCAGTCAGAAGTGAAGTGAATTTTTTGTTATCCTATGTGCTTGCGATCTCCGTCTGTGCTGTGAAAATATGGTACTTGTTTCCATTGCCTTGTTGGAAGCCCGTACTTCCGCACCTGCATGTTTGGCATTGTGAATCAAGATACAGTTATGTTATTCGATGCATACAAATTCAACATGTATTGCTGAACTATGAAGCATCACATATTAGGAAACTTAATTTCAAGAATGATTTGTAAATTAATACTCACTTCTTTTTTATTTCTGAACTGTAGGCCATAGCCTCGTAGTATACATCCAAACAGTTATGAGGGGTGAGTAGTACAAACTCGTTTGCGGTTTAACAGTGCATTTTGTATAAACGTGGCAATATTCTGAAGTAGCTGTACGTTTTCGGTTGGCATTAGTACACAGAATTTGTAAAATGTGGGACAGGACGTATACTTAGATGGTATATAATAGCTCCTTGGATCTTCATACTGTGGACACATTAGAAGGACATGATATTCATCTTCAGTCATATTTTGCAGGATTGGTTTTCAGTAGCATGACATATTCTTTTAAAATACATTAAATCATAATAACCACATCGAAACTGCGATGGCAAAACAAGGGTGATTTGATTCTGAATAGTTTAAAAGTCAACTTAAAGGTCAACTGTGAAATGATTACAGGCAGTGTTAATTTCAACCACTGAAATCGATATTGACATATTCCTATCCGTCTCGACCGCCTCCGTGGTGTAGTGGTTAGAGCGTCCGCCCGGAGAGCGGAAGGTCGCGGGTTCGATCCCCGACCGCGTCATACCAAAAGACGTTAAAATATGGTACTTGTTGGTCCCTGCCTGGCGCTCGGCATTAATGGGTACAACAAGGACTGGTCGGCTCGGAGTCAGTATAATGTGTCTGAGTGAGGTATTCATGCTTCACTGCGGCATGGTATCTCAGTGGGCTAGCACTATAAAACCAGCTTCAGTCTGGGCTAGTACAAGCAGCCGCACATACACATACACACGCATGCACGTCGTCATATGAGCAAAATATTCTCAAGCACGACGTTAAACCCAATTTCACCTCACCTCACCTATCCGTCTCGAACTTTCAATCCATACAATGGTGTAGTGTTGAAAAGTTAATGCAACTGTAAATAGTTCCAGATTGATCTTACTTCTCCTTTGCAACTGCATGGGGTGTAGATTCACATATCTTGATTAGAAACGAACCTATTAGAAATCTCTCAAAACAAGTTACTCAATCGTAAGACACCTGTGCTAAATGCACAACCCATATTAAGATCAACACTATACCGAAAGCATGTTTATGAATCACATCCATGTAAAGTTGAAACCAGGTGTTCGTGAAAGGTGAGAGTATTCTGTCCTACAGAAAAAAAACGTATGTTGGTACATCCATTTTATGACGCTTTTGAATCCAGGTTTTAGAGTGAATTAATCACAAGTGGAAAGAAGTGGTTTAGGCAGATTTCTTCCTCAGATAACATATTTGCCTTATGTAAGGCGTTATTTGATATCCCACTAACAACGAGTCAGCATCGTGCCTTAAGGCACAACTATTGATAGCTGGAACATGATACTGAAAATCAGAACGTCTATTAATAGGACATTGATGTCTTTGATATCTGACCCTAACAACGCCCAGTGGTATCGATTACCTTGTCACAGCAGCACTGTGCAATAAACGGCCAGAAAGATATGACCGTCCCGGAAGGGCTGTCGTCCGAATTACCATTCAGTGCTACCACGCCTTCTACTTCCGTTTTGTTATCACCTAAGGTGTGCAGGTCTCTGATATTTAGAGAACCTGCCATTAAGGTATGCTGACTCATTTCTACTGGTTCATTAAGGGCCATTTATGCAATCAAAGAGAGGGGGTGGACACGTAGAGGAGATGAATCACTTTAATCGACCCGGACGTCCGCAGAATTGGCTTGTCATCCAAGGTCGGCCGAGTAACATAATACAATTAGTCTGTCTCCTAAGTGGAACATAAAGTATCTAAATGAACATATTCAGTACTTTTATATGTCCTTTGATAAAGTGAGATAATTGGCATCTGACAAATAATGTTGTTCCAAGGCAGGAACAAGGTATTGTGAAATCGATGTCTGTACGGTAATAGACTTACAGATTAGTCTTTTGATCACGGTAATTGTTAAATGTGTCACCCTTGTGCATCCATCAACAATATATGGTCATAGATGCCAGACACGTGCCGTCCTCACCTTTAGTTTGACTTCACATTTGTACACGTCGTCAGTGTTTCCTGGAATGAATCAAAATGTAATGGTCAGAGAGAATAATTGCAAGACAGGCGTTACAGCCGACTACTTTCAAGCTCCTGTCTACCGAGGTCACTTTACACAGTGGACATGGTGACAAAGAGAGTGTCAATATCCTAGAGAGATAGATGGTGTATACGTCGTCACTGTCTCCTTGAATGGTCAGAAGAAAGACCTTACAACCGGCAACTCTCAAGCTTCTGCCTACCGAGGTGACCTTACTCATTGCTCATGATGGCAGATAGAGCGCCAATCTCCCAGAGAGATAGATGTGACATCGTTGTGTACGTTTGTCAAGGTCTTATGCTGATTCGTCTCACTGTGTTTCCTTTGGCCAGTTATGGTAGATTCCAGAAGCAGGTAATTATAATTGTGGATATGCTTATTAATCAGTTGAAGTATTAAAGGTATCTCTTATTTAAGAAAAGGAGGCGCCATAACACCAATTTGACAGTTATCATTAGTCAAAATGAAGTCTTCCAAGGACCCTTTTCCTGATGGCAGTCCCTAAAGTAAGACCTTTCCTGAACCTCTAATACTTATTTACGTTTAATTTTCATCAGAAATGAACAACCGAATACTTTATGAATGCAATGTTATGGTTGACTTTGGTTGTATATATGCTGCGACAGTAATGACTGGTCATGAGTAAGAATTAATCTTCGTTATCCAAATTAGTGCCAATTCAGCAGGTATTGTAACTACCGAGTCTGTACTTTAATCGATTCTGACTGGGATCCTGGCATCCGTACAGGGACTGGGACATGAATTTAGCTGAATGTTGTATAAAAAACGTTCACTGTAGTGTTGGAGGAAGGGCTAGTCGAGTCAAAGCTTACCTCTATGAGGAAACCATGGAACACGGGTGATGCTGAAAAAGTCTAGAATGGATGCTATCAAATCGAACAAATTAGCTTACTTGAGTACCCGCCTGGAATGATATTGTAATATATACAATGTTGACATGACTGGCCTGAATCCAGTCATTTGGACCACCATGTTTGGACGACAGCATACAAACGTATACAAATGTGACCATATCTCTTCCTTAGCTTACATTTAGCATATATAGATATGAACATTTCTCTTCCCCAGGCTATTCGATAATGTATACATCGGAGTAACACAAAA